TTACTGTAACCAGTTTAATAAAACAGACGAACAAACAGACTTCAGAACTCTTCATGATACCTGAAAACAAAATGAGAGAAGGATACACGATGATTCAGTACAAGTAAATTATATACATGACTATGATTAAGTTCAATTGAATTAGATTGACAAACTAGTCGAACTGAGTAGCATTCATCTTGTCAGGTGAAATTACTGTTTGAAAGTTCGAAGTATCACATTTTCACTTATTCGTAAACTGAAAGTGTGTGTTTGTGTGTGTGTCTGTGTGTGTAATAACAGTTCAGTTCGTCCGTGGTCCAACCAAATGCGACGATACGCAAATACATACGATTCGTAAATTCCCGTTGACTATTAGGAAGATGATAATCGGACGACATATCGTGTCCTTGAAATGGGTTGATAGTTAACTGATGACTGTATATTAGTAGGATCAGTTCAACAAAGATTACTTACTGTATTCAGTGAAGTGCCCTTTCATTCATTGAAGCCATAAGTTTATATCCCAATCGACGTGGACCATGATAATATGTATAGTATTCGGTGTGGTTATTCTTCTCATCAACATTATGACCACCACTTTTATTAATATTGATATTAATAATAATGTTATTATCATTATTATCAACACTTTCATTTTCTTTCTTATACTCAGTTCTGTTGACTTGTTTTTTATCCAATTTGACAGTTTTATTGTCAAGATCTACTATCTTTTGATGTACCGGTATTAGGAAGTAGCCCGGTCGTAGTTCGGAATTTTTGTCATCATCTCCTTTATTTTCTTCAGTTGGTGATTGGGTGAATTGCTGTTCGCTTTCATCTTGTCCAAATGTAACGTTGATGTTCTTGTCAACATCAGGTAAAACCGCTGAACCTAAATTTAGAGAAAGATAAACGACTGGTCAATTTACAGTGATACACCGAATAGAGATTCACGAGACCCAATAAAACAAATCAAACTAACAATTGATGTTCCATTCCAAATACTGTAACATTGATACTCATAACTCACTGCCAATATTCAATAAACAGTATTCTCCTATTCTAAGTAGCTGTTCAACCACATTGACTAGATCATTCACAATCAAACCATGTTATTCTCACGTCAAATTAATTACTCAGCCTTATTTCACTGAATCACATTCATCAAGCACAAATGTCACTTACCCGAACAAATCACTTTCTTAACAATAAGAGTCTCACATAATATAATGTATATCAAAGAAATATTTGGAACGTACGTGTATATGCGGGAATGAATGTGACGAGCATTGTGAGGCATAAGATGTTGCACACCGTTGATAAACGCATTTTGTCTGTCAAATGAAGTGAACTTTGAATGGAGTGGATAGTTGATCACATAAGAAACACCTCATGTTTATATACTGATACGGACCTATGAGATCTAATCAAATTTGTGAAATGAATTAATGGATGAACTCATCCGATTGGTGTTCTCTTCGTCTGGTTCACTCAATAATTTGGTAATAAAAGTGCACATAAACTGGTCATAATGGAATGTGGTTATTCATATATTCTATTGTGCATCAATAACTACAATAACAACATCAACAAGTTCACGATGTGTGCGTAATCTACATCAAGCTCACTCACTGCATTGATTCACCAAGTTCAGTTCAATGGTAAAATTAGTAGTGAATTAGTTAGATTAGATAATCACGCTAACATATCTCACCTTGATAATATGACCAGAGAAATGTCAGCATCATTCTCTCTTTCAACTGAATGCTGAATAACACCTTTATATTTTGGTATTTCAGCATAATTATTATCAGTGGTCTTATGAGTAGAATTCTCTCTGATTTCGATGGACTCAACTAATTAGTAGTTTGTTGATCACGTTGCAACCAAATGATATGATGTGATCATCTCAGTGTTTCCATCAATTCTCTCACTTGTACTTGATAGATTAACAATAGTTGAAGATAGCAAATTCATATTGGCTATGTGTTGAGGTGGCTTAATCAACTGCAAGTGCTGAAGTAGAACATACATTATGGAATTTTTATTGTTCAAACACTGACTAACATCACACGAGATCCAAGCTCGCCATAATTGTGTTAGGCATCGGGTCGTGCTTTGTATTTATGCGATACAATTTTTTTAAATTTATAGTTGTTATAAAGTAGATTTTTAGAGCGGGTGATGTAAACTATGACCTCGGGAAAAGGCGTACGCCGAGTTTGTTCCAGACGTCAGAGGTTCTATAGCTGTGCTCTCAGATCAAGATTCTAAAACAAGATTAACAAAGGAGCAGCAAGGCACTTGAATATTAACGCTAAACAGTGCTTAACATTTTGTAGTGAAACAGAGAGAGGTATGGAAAATTATTGGATTAAATTCATACTAGCTCTTGTTGCTAGAGTGAAATGTGATGCTAGCCATGCATTTCTAATGTGAAAGTATGAGTTAGCATGTTTTAGGTTATCTTAGTAGAATGGGTAATCCAGAGTAAAATTGGAAACACAAGTCTGAATAGTGAGTGTATCACAGACTGATTGACATGTTCTCAGTCATAAAACGTTTGGTACAAGCAAAATGTTCTGCTTCAGAAACATGGATGGATTGACGTTGTCGGTCTCACCATCAATGCTTACTGGTCAGTACCTCCACACTCCCTCCTTTTGTGATGTTAAGCTCATTTGAGCTTTCTTTGGATATACATCATACATCACACAATGCTCTGTGTTTCACATTCGGCTGGAAAACACTATTTCTATAAGTGCCATTTTACAAGCTTACCAGGCAGTTACAAATTATGGACTGAGGGTAACTCATCGATGCAATGCTTTAATTGACCATAATATGAAGTATAGATTGCCAATGGATGTGCAAGCATTAGGAAGGGTATAATGTGGGATAGTTGTTTACCAAAGTAGGCGGAAAAGTATAGGAATTTACGAGTTATAGATGAGGTAACGAGTGGTGAAATGAAATTAGTGGCAAATCAACGTAGTGTACTGGAGAGTAAAAATCTGATAAAGAATAGACAAGAAGGATCTCACATTAACTTCGTGCTGATGTTATTTTGCTCTACCCCAACCGGTTGATGGGTAACAGGTTCCATATATGCAAGACCACTGGTAGTAGGTAGTCGATTATGAGGTCCTCTTGACATTTCAGGGTAGTAGTGAGCGTCTCTTGGCGACCAAAACCAGTTGAGCGGCATTGATGAGTTACCTGTCCACTTCAAGTAAAACAATTAAGGAGGATAAAGTATCTAATACAACTGCAGAGTAGGAAAGTATGGCAAACTGAACTTAGAGTCGAATTTGGTCTATAAATGTAGAGAGTATATGACATGTGAGTGGGACACAGATGTGTTGGATCGTGCTAGATGAGTATAAACGAGGGCTTGATCATAATGTTTTACAAACGCAGGCGATTCATCTGCCATTTTCGATGCATTTCCGGGGAAAACAATCGATGATGTGAAAACATTAGCCACAATGAGTAAACCACATGAAGAATGTCTAATGAGAACGAGCTACATATATGGCTACAACACAAAAAGAACACATCGATGTAGTTCGTTGACTGATGTAGGAAAAATTAGGAAAATCTGTGCGGCAAAGCAAATATCCACAAAACAAACAATAAATGAAACGGAGAAGAGATGGAGGGAGGAGCTATTGTATAAACAAAGTTAATGAATAAATATAAAATGAAATTAGTACACGAGAATATCTTAGATCAGGAGATACGGTTTAGTTGAAAATGCCATAAGGAAAATTTCTTGCTGCTGGAGGACCTAACGCTTTTATGAAGGATGTGAGATAAACCACTAGATTTTTATTGTCTTCCTTCTTTAGCCATGTTTGATAGGTTCTCAAGTCACCTGAACACACTAGGTCTGCGACGCAAGCAAGAGGATCGTGACTAGCGTCTAGATCTATGTTCGAAATAGATGTTGAGGCAAATATACAGTTGTCTCGAGTGCTAGTCCTTGCTAATATCTTGTCTACTATGAGGGCCATCTGGGTAAGTGGTGTGTCTTCCAGTAGCGCCATAATCGTGAGTTGCAGATGTTCTGGAAGAGATTCGAGCCATAATTCCTTAACGAATGCGGAATCGGCTGTCGTGGGTCTTGCTAGAGATTAGAGGCGCTCGATTTGACGATCGTAGACGTTGGGTACATTGAGATTGAGGACCACATACCGAACAGTGGCAATGTGATCCGCAGGTAGAGTTTTCAGAACATGAGCATATTTCTGCCGCTGGCCCAGTGCCACAAACCACACTTCTAGTATTGTTGCCAGGATACTATATATATTGAAAGGTATCAATATGAAATGTGTGACAAATGTGGATAAATAAATAATAGTTTCAACGTAATAGTCTTGCTTGGGAGATTTTGAACTTGTTGAGCTGTGTTCACAGTTATCGCTCGCCAAATGTAGTCGGCGAAGAATCGCGGTTGATGGAAACAATAAGATGATCACATCATATCATTTGGTTGCAACGTGATCAACAAACTACTAATTAGTTGAGTCCATCAAAATCAGAGAGAATTCTACTCATAAGACCACTGATAATAATTATGCTGAAATACCAAAATATAAAGGTGTTATTTAGCATTCAGTTGAAAGAGAGAATGATGCTGACATTTCTCTGGTCATATTATCAAGGTGAGATATGTTAGCGTGATTATCTAATCTAACTAATTCACTACTAATTTTACCATTGAACTGAACTTGGTGAATCAATGCAGTGAGTGAGCTTGATGTAGATTACGCACACATCGTGAACTTGTTGATGTTGTTATTGTAGTTATTGATGCACAATAGAATATATGAATAACCACATTCCATTATGACCAGTTTATGTGCACTTTTACTACCAAATTATTGAGTGAACCAGACGAAGAGAACACCAATCGGATGAGTTCATCCATTAATTCATTTCACAAATTTGATTAGATCTCATAGGTCCGTATCAGTATATAAACATGAGGTGTTTCTTATGTGATCAACTATCCACTCCATTCAAAGTTCACTTCATTTGACAGATAAAATGCGTTTATCAACGGTGTGCAACATCTTATGCCTCACAATGCTCGTCACATTCATTCCCGCATATACACGTACGTTCCAAATATTTCTTTGATATACATTATATTATGTGAGACTCTTATTGTTAAGAAAGTGATTTGTTCGGGTAAGTGACATTTGTGCTTGATGAATGTGATTCAGTGAAATAAGGCTGAGTAATTAATTTGACGTGAGAATAACATGGTTTGACTGTGAATGATCTAGTCAATGTGGTTGAACAGCTACTTAGAATAGGAGAATACTGTTTATTGAATATTGGCAGTGAGTTATGAGTATCAATGTTACAGTATTTGGAATGGAACATCAATTGTTAGTTTGATTTGTTTTATTGGGTCTCGTGAATCTCTATTCGGTGTATCACTGTAAATTGACCAGTCGTTTATCTTTCTCTAAATTTAGGTTCAGCTGGCTTACCTGATATTAGAAATATTCATGTGGACACATTTGGACAAGATGAAAGCGAACAGCAATTCACCCAATCACCGACTGAAGAAAACGGAGGAGATTATGATGATGACGAAAATGAGAAATTGGATAAGAAAATGGAGTATGCGATAGAAAATGATAGTGTTGATGAAAATGATCATAATATTATTATGAATATTAATATCAATGCAAATGAAGGTCACGAAAAACAACCTGACAATGGTGATGAAATTGATACCGATTTCCTTCAATGAATGTGAGGCACTTCACTGAATACAGTAAGTAATCTTTATTGAACTGATCCTACTAATATAAAGTCATCAGTTAACTATCAACCCATTTTAAGGACACTATGTGTCGTCCGATTATCATCTTCCTAATAGTCAACGGGAATTTACGAATCGTATGTATTTGCGTATCGTCGCATTTGGTTGGATCACGGACGAACTGAACTGTTATTGCACACACTCAAACACAAACACACACTTTCAGCTTCCGAACAAGTGAAAATGTGATACTTCGAACTTTCAAACAGTAATTTCATCTGACAAGATGAATGCTACTCAGTTCGACTAGTTTGTCAATCTAATTCAATTGAACTTAATCATAGTCTAGTATACATTTTACTTGTACTGAATCATCGTGTATCCTTCTCTCATTTTGTTTTCAGGTATCATGAAGAGTTCTCAAGTCTGTTTGTTCGTCTGTTTTATTAAACTGGTTACAGTAAACACATTTGTGTATTTTTGATATTGAATTGAAATGAAATAAACATGAGTGAATTACGTTGTTGGTTTTCTTGATTGACGATCTAATAACTAACTTTGGAGAACAGAAATAGCATTTTGTTGTTACTAGGTTTTGTGTATTCACACATCTCTGTCACAAGTCGTCAGTGTTGAATGACTGTCTAGTGTGATGTGTATGCTGACAACTGTGCTACTTCTTCTCACCCATCGACATCTCCACTGTCTTCATGTTTGAATGAAGAGAGCTGTGTGAATAAGCCAACTTGGATTTCAGTCTGATGCAAATTTTAATACGAAATACGATTGGATGCTTTATAAAATGTGTGAGATATGTCAAAATAAATGATTGCACTATGTTGTATTATTTCGTGGGGTTGTGCTATGCTATGCGGTGAGAGACCCCAAAGTGCAATGTCATCCACGACCTTCCTGTTAAGAAATCGCCTTGTGATCTAGCAATATGTTTCCGATTTAGTAAATAATCTTAGACACTGTACATTACAACCCTCTCCATGATTCGTGAAATGACTGGATAGATATTCGTCGATCGGTAATAAGCAGAGTTCTCTCTTTTCCCAGTGTTGTATTGCGTGACAATGTAGCAGGTGTTCCAGTTACTTGAGTATACGTCTGTATCTGATATCATGTGAAATATGTGAAGAAGTATAAGTGGTGCGTCATTACATCGTTTAGGAAATACAAGGCGGATACCGTCAGTTTCTATACCCGTTGTAGTCTGAAGACAATTGATTGCTCCATACACACTTTTGCACCGAATGATGCATTTTCACATTTACTGGATGAAAGTGTTGTATTGTTGAGGTGATCAGGTCGCTGTCCATTGAGCTTTGTCAAATGGTTACTAAACATTTCTCATATATCCATAGAGCGGTCGTAAATTATCTCATCCCACATTAGAAATGCAATATCTTTTGGTTTGCACCCACGTTTACACAGATAAGATGTTAGGTTATTTGTGTTCGAGCTACTTCTTAGAGACTCGAGTTCAATTCAACCCTCACTCCGAACATATAACATTCCAACAGATTCACACGTACCAATCAACATCGAGGTGAACATAACAAGCTGTGAAACACATGTGAGGGTAATTCGAACACTTCACTTGTATCTGAAGTTTGTGCTGATGATGTCGTTCAGAAGAACGATGAAAGCTCCACGACCAAACAATCATGCTCAGTGAACAAAACTCCACCAAAATGTAAGGAGCATGTTTACCAATGTGGTGTAAACTTGTATGAACGATAAGGTTTGTGATTCATAGTTAATGATTCGGGAAAAGGATTAGATTTATAGTTTTCATCACGAACTAACATCAGTTAAAATGCCAAAACGCTATTTGGCCAAATGAATGAGGGAATTTTGCGCCATATTCCGAGACCTATTATCGTAAATCTGATTGATTCGTCCATAAATTACAGTCTCACCGAGTAATAGAATATTTGTAATCAGTGTAAAATCTATCCTTTGTTTTCAGTAATATACCAATATGGTGCTAAAATATACAAAAGCAAATTTGTCACAATATCAAGATGTTCTGTTTTAATATTGAATGAAATTTAGGGAGAGAGAGAGAGAGAGAGAGAGGAATGATGAATAGGGCAATAAGCCCGGTACTGTTTCGTATTGAATATTTGATTATTTAAAAGTGAAACAATGTTCATTGTTCATATATCTTTTGTGACGATGGAACACAGGTGAACTCGAGGAAGCTGTAGGAGGCTCAGAAGTACTTGAATATATTCCATCCAATCACCTTTTGGAAGAATATTCTAGAGTTCTTATGTGTAGCTTCCTGATTGGACAATGCTAATAACCCCCTGGTGGAATGCAATGATGATTTTGTTCTTACTAAAAACTATAAATACCTGACAATTTTGTACTATAATTGACACTGTCTGGGAATAATATTGCTTTCATTAGTCTCCTTTCTTCTCATTGCTACTTGGAAGGGTTGTGGCGTTCTAGTACTCACGTTATACGCAGTATATCAAGAACAAACTTCTAGATATAACGTCTTTTGGATAAATTAACTTGATGGACTGATATAAATCTTGAATAGTTTTTTAGTAAGAGCCTATGGAGATAAGTTCACAACTACTTAGTTAAAAATACAAAACACATTGTTGTTATTATTGTTACTGTTATCTGTAATTATCTGTTATATCATAGTTACATAATTACATTGTTCATTTTATGATATATGTAGTGAAATATATTGAAGATTTATTTATTTATTTATTTAAACACATAAACATTAGTACAAGAAGGCACCAAACAGATATACATAGGGGCTGCGATACTGCCCGGGTGCCCAAACCCAAGTAGATGGTTTTCTTAGGGGACCACACTCGGACCTCTGACCTGAAGGTCTGATGCATAAGGCAGTGGAGCAATGTTCCTTGGTAGCCGGTCATCAACAATTGGTTCATACGCCATTTGTTCCATCAGGATCCTGAATCCCATGTACACTATTGGTTTGGAATCAGGGTTTTCCAACTCCTCTATTTGGATCCTCCATATCCACCAACTTGGTTAAAGCTCCGTACATTCACTTTTCGTCCTCTCAATTCCCTAAACAACAGTAATGCCGCGAGAAGGCAGTGAGTAGAACTTCTCTGGCGGTGGTTGTATCCACATGGCTAATTCAGAGCATTTCGAGAGGGTGAGCTAACTCTCCTCACTATCAGCAATACCAGGGCGTTTGGAGGTATATGTAATAAAAAGTGAGAACTATTTGATCCGTACATATTATCATTTCAAATGGGCATTTACGCAAATGTAATTCAGTTTCATTTCAATGTTGAGTTTGTTAGCTGAATCACATCAGCTCTAGCTGTATTGACTTTAATATGAACAACTATTAGTGTTTCACAATTGTGAGTTTACTAAGATACTGATAACTGTGTTTTTCTGAACACATAAATTCAAGACGAATGTTTTAGTGACTATTGCTTAGGTCGAGCGCTCAATTACAGTCTCCCACGTTCACAGCCAGTTTATGGTTTGATCTTGTGTAGATGTTATTTTCTATTTTATGGTCTGATGTGGTCTACTTGTCTGGTATGTAAACCAAGCATGTTTGAAATAAACAATTCACATAGTAGGAAGCTTTTATTGATGTTCTGGACTCAAGTGGACGAGCCAGAAGTGTAGTGAACAAGAACACTAGTGAGTACACATTACAGGACTCATTAATAAAATCGAACAATCATAAAATAAATGCTTAATTTGCAAAATGTCCACCAATTGTCTCAAAATCACTCAGACTTCATTGTTCTTGCATTTTCCTACAAATTGCATTCTGTTACCATTCTTTACTGTTCCATCCTCATGTCTCTCTGCTTGCAGACCTTCTGTTTACGATTAATATCATATACTACTTATGTCAATATAAGTAGTACACACCACAGAAGAACAAATGACTAATAAGGACGCTAAGCTGGTCATACTGGTCGAATGTCATTGGTATAGTACAGCACAAGTGTGAACCAATCGTATTTCGATTGGTGAATTAGTTACATGATAACTAGTCGAACTTAAAGTCACAACAAGTGATCTAGTGGATAAATTACTTTGCTTATAGACACTATGTTGTAATAAGTTCAAACTCCCCAACCCACCTCATCTACTTCAGTCTAAGCAGCCAGTGATTGATAGTGGTCTTACTCACAATCTTTACAAACAATAACACTATACTTCCAACTTAAATATACATAAAAATCTGTACTGATTCCATAGTTGTTTGTATATGATGTATGGAGATAATAAATCAATAAAACAAAGAACAATGCAAATTCATTTATTGTACTATTTTATCATTTCAAACTATTAGTTGTTACATTTTAAAAGGTACAATCCTGACTAGTCGGTAATCAGTCTTGCCCAGATATATAAAAACCTATAAAAGTATACAACCAAATGAAGATTTAAATCAAACAATATCATTCAATTTTCAATGGTTAAAATCATGAGTCAGTTGAAGCTGAACCATCATGCGAAACTTGGAAGTACTGAATGGTTCAAATCTTGTGAGGCGGGATCGTAGATGTGCACTGCTATGGAGGAGTCCAACAATAGGATGAAACAGCCGTTCAGTACTTCCAGGTTTTCCATGGTGGTCTAGCTTCAATTGATTCATGATCTCAACTATTGAAATTACTGTAATATCCACAAAAAACCCCTTTTGATAGTCAATTTTCTTTAAAATAAATGATTACAGCTGTATGATTATAAAATACACCTACAACCTAATTATAACATACGGTAGAAATGCTAAATAGATTCAGTTTGTCCTTTTCTCTAGGTCATATGCATTGATCTTAGTCAGTCAGTGATCTTAAGTGCTGTTAGACGTATGAGAGTAGTTATCCCTTCCCGGTTGCCCATACGGTGGGAGGGTTCTTCTGAAGGTACCTGAAAAGGAAATTGAGGTGGTCTTATTGACCTGAAAGCTTGACCTCTGTTCCCAAGGGACAAGTGATTGAGTTCAATCGCACACAACCTTTTTGTGAGTAATTTGTGTATTCGCTCCGTACTTATTGAGACCTTACCGTCGGAGACGGATATCCGTGGGATATGGCGAGGTGTGCAATTTTAGGGTCGACCTTTTCTAACCCAACCACACCCCACCCCTAGTAGGAAGATAGAATCGCTGTTATGCTGGTTGTCTGAAGAAAACACCTTACTGCCGTGACACCTCTGTACAGTGAGCAGTACGACTTCGCCTTCGGACCTTGCGTTTGCAGCTCTTAGTCTTGCCGCTTTTCAACAGACCTGTCTGGCGCGGTAGAACCTTGAGAAACGATTGTTTCAGCCAGTATAGCTCGATTGGTTCATTTCGATAGGCAAGCTTGATCACCACGTCAAGGTAGCACCGAAGGTTGTGATCTAATTCATAACGTAATTATACATTTATGTTTATTAAAGATATTACCCCAATATAAAACATGAATTCTGGATGTGTATTGTTTTGTTTTTGCGGATTTATATCAAGTAAAGTATTGTGAAAATAAATAAGAAATGTATGATTACATCTTTCTAGTTTCTGATTCCTCTGAAACATTCCCACATGAAACTGACAGACATTGAATCATGGACGTAGTTGGTGAGTTATTTTTAGTTCAATAAGCTGAACTTTTACCTTTTATAGTACTAAATATCACATAAACCTATACCATCCAACTCTACCGGTAGTTATTATATTACTCATGACTTCATTTAACTTCACTTTTATGGAATACAGAATAGAACGTTGAGACTATAATTTATGGATGACCTTTGAGAGACGTTAAAAAGACCTTGAGAACATCAACCTATGCAGTGCGGCTAAATGAGGATAATAACCCATTGTGAGGAATTTAGATTAATATTTATAGTTGATAGTTAGGGTTAAGAATAAGATTTAGGGTTTTTATTACGAATAGACATCATACTGAAACCTACCTCATTTCTTATAATGTCCTTTCCTATAGAAATGTGGATCATTCAGTACTCCTTCATTTTCATAGCCATCTTCATTCTCAACATCCGTTTCATCTCCATCGTCATATTCATAATCACCATCTATCTCACCATCTGAATCTCCATACTGGTCTTCTTCAATTGTATCTGTTTTACATTTAATCAAGTAAGAAAAAATGAACAGTGTTAAGCTGACTTCCATGAACCTCCTTATTTAGGTTTTGTGCAAGTTAGTACTTGCCAGGGATGAGTTAACACACCCAAGGATGCTCTAACCCATACGTCCTATCTTTACACTCTTAAACTCCTATCAAGGATCTTGTTGAAATATCATGATGTGACGGTAGACATTTAACAGAATAATAAATTGTATTATTCAATGACATGAGTATTTAAGTAACATGAAGATATTTAAATCCTATCAATAATATGATAGAGATCTATAAGTTTATGTAGCAGCAAAGCTACCCCTTATTGTCAGAGAGGGGTTTTATGGATATTATAGTAATTTAATAGTTAAATACATGAGTCAATTGAAGATAGACCACGATGGAAAATCTGGAAGCACTGGATGGCCGTTTCGTTCTAGTGTAGGACTCCTCCTTAGCAGTGCTCATCCACGATGCTGCCTTGCGAGATTCGGCTCAATGGTCTAATGGTCAAGTGCTCGCACACGAGATTGATAGGTTCTGGATTCGAACCTCGCAAGACGGGATCGTAGATTCCCATTACCCCTTATTTATCGGCAACACTCTCGAACCTTACAGTTTACATCAAATGGACGGATTCTCTATCTAATTTATAATTCAATAGTCTCCATATAACTGACTAGTTTCATATGAGCAAATCAATATTAGTTGGAAACTTAACATTACCTGGAATGTATATAATATGTGATTCATTTGATTTGAAGATATCAAGGCACGAATAAGTATACTAGGTATCATAGTGCGTAAGGCAATGTCATAGAAAAGAACAAACACCGGTTTTAATATCAATGAGGATAGCTTCTACATGAATCGAGGCTCTGAACTAAGTTTAGGACTAATGATTGTTGACCCTTATCCAGAATATTAAACGAATAATTTTTTCTGGTTAGCGTTTTTTAGCGAGTTAGTTTTCTACGGAATGAGGACGCTAACCCCATGCCCAACCCTCCTCCTTTATCCGGGCTTGGGACTGGCAGTAGCCCCCGGAGGGACTCCAGGCAGAGTATATTAAACGAAACCGACATTATTTTTCACAGTCAGCAAAACTACCTTTTAAGCCTTTGAAGTCCTGAATGACATCGACTAATTCACGGTACCATATCATATCTTTGTTATCAATAGTATTAAATGTTTCTATTTGATCAATAATGACTTCATGAAGGATAAAGTATTGAACAGTTCTCTTGTAAATTTGAACTGTTTATTAAAATTCTCAAACTTTTATTAAGGTTAAAATTGAAGAATATATAGAACTCAAAACAAGTATCTGCAAGCCAATATGAAAGTCACGATCTTGAATACGAACGTCAAAAGAGTCGGTTCTACTGTACGTAGCTGAAACTCGAAGAACAACTATAACCATCACTCAGAAGGTGTAGGTATTTATAAATAGTTATCTACGCAAGATACTTAACATCCATTGGCTGGATACCATTAGTAATAGTCTATTGTGGGAGGGAACAAACCAGCTTACAGATCAAGAGGAAATTGGGAAAGGACGATGGAAATGGACAGGACATACATTACGGAAATCACCAAACTGCAGCACGAGGCAAGCCCTAACTTGAGATCCTGAAGAGAAACAGAAAATATGATAGCCAAAGAACACGGTGAGTCGATAATTGGAAGCAAACACGACGAAGATGAATAACAACTGGAAATAACTGAAAAGGATTGTACAGGACAGGATTGGATAGAGAGTGCCGGTGGACGGTCTACACTCCTCCACAAGAAGTAACAGGCTTAGGTAAGTAAGTTTATTAAGCCTATAAATTATACATTGTGCAAAATATTCTTTTAAAAGGAGACACATCTCTAATCTAATGACTATTAGTAGGTATTTCAATATCTGAGTATTAATTGAGGTTTGTTTATTGATATGATTATTTGTAGATTATTCAGTAGAACATTTGACCGACAATTTAAACAGTATATATTTCAATTCATATGGTATTGTTTGTTTGTATCTGCCCGTTGTTGTTTTCGGACTACAATTGATCAGTCTCTTATTGACATATTTGCATCTTATACGAATTACCTCAATATTGCCTTTATAGGCAATGATGGATGGCGGCTAAGTGGGAAATCCGGGACTGGCGTTTCGTCTTATTTTGGACTCATCATCTGGATTTACCTACATCCTAGAATCACGTAGTAATCATCAACTGTGTAATGCAATTACATGCAGTTGATAAGTCTTAAATAGGACGAAACCCGCATCCTAGATTCGATTGCTACCCACTATCCATTTTTGATCATAAAATATATACATTTCAATTATATCATCGGTCTATTTGATGAAGGTGTTTATATAATTTTCATGATAAACTATCATCATCTAGAAGAAATTCGCAAATATGACCAGTAAGTATATTGAAATACTAATGGAAGATGGTTGTACAATTTCGTGGATTGGTTGAACTCAAACATTAACATCGTTGGATGACAACTCAGTGATCTACAGGTCAAACATTCACATACAAGGCTGAAGGCTCGTATAACAGGATTATGAATGCACACTACTAAGGAAGAGTTTCACAAAAGGACGAAATGGCTGTTCATTTCTTCCAGATTTTCAACAGTAATCTAACATCAATGAATTCATGATCTCGATCAAATCTTCACAACTTTATACTAAGAAAAGCTCATTGTTTCTTAACATCACTACATACATACATACATACATACATGTATACATGATGATAAAACTTGTTAACTCACATGAATAATTAACATTGATCATCATTGTCATCAATAACAACACCATAGTGATTACCATTAAGGAAATATTCTGTAAACAGTAGTATTTCATATTAAGTAGTTGTTATAAATAATAATGAAAATTCTAAATATAAATATTTGTTTATATCATTTATTGAATCCTTTTATACTAATCATAATCAAACAATATTTATTATCATTACTACTACTACTACTATTATTATTATCAGTAGTAGTAGTAGTATGAATAGTAAACAAATATTATTGTTGTTTAAATACATTTACACATTTCTTGTTCATTGTTCAACTATAGTTAATTATCGGAACTTAGTTGATCTTCAAAATTATAATCAGGAAATGATTCACATTGTTTTATCCATTGAGTAGGAGGTTACATATTCTGAAAGTAGAACAATCATAATCATAATAATGATTGAATAATTACGAAGAGTAATTATGTTAGTTTTAATTGTTTTAAAATGGTTAAATACCGGATGTGACGTTTCTTTTTTTTTTCTTCTTGATTACTTCAATATAGATGGATCTATTGTAAATTGTATAAATGTTAATCTATTTATTTATTTATTTATAGAAATGAAGTTTTTGTGAAGAGTTTGAAAGTACTGGATAGTTGTTTCGTTCTAGTATGAAACTTCTCTTTAATAGTGTGCATCCACGATCCCACTTCAAGGGATTCGAACCCAGGACTTATTAGTCTCGCGGTTGAAAGTTTAACTTCTACATTACTGAGCTCCCATCCTTCTAATTCTCTAGTACGGCACAGAGTGGAGAGAGTCAGACCTCTCTCTCTCTCCAAATGCTCTTACATGGCCAACTGCGTACAACCACTGCCAAGGAAGTTCTACTCACTGCCTACTCGAGGAATTACTGTTGTCTACGGGATTGAGAGGACGAAAGGTGAATGTACGGAGCTTTAACCAAGTTGGTGGATATGGCGGATCCAAATAGAGGAGTTGGAAAACCCTGATTCCAAACCAATAGTGTACATGGGATTCAGGATCCTGATGGAACAAATGGCGTATGAACCTATTGTTGGCCACCGGCTCCCATGGAACTGTATCTCCTGACATTGCCCCACTGTCTTATGGATCAGACCTTCAGGTCAGAGGTCCGAGTGTGCCCTCCTAAGAAAACCATCTGCTTCAGTTTGGGCACACGTTCAGTATCACAGACTACACACAAATCGGATGATTTATTTGGCGCATATGTATTTGGTGCTTCCTTGTACCAATGTTTATATGTTTAAATAAACAAATACAAATAAATCCAACGGTGTTAATATCTAAATTCAATATAAGAAAACATACAACATAGAACCTATAATACTGCTGAATTTTATTCTATCTTATATGTTTATTTTATTTGATATAGATCGAATGGTCATTACTGATGACATTGATTATTTGTTGAATTATACCATTCATTAATTGAAGTAGGAAATCTAGAAGATTTTGAATCAAATCAAAGTTCTAAGAAGTTCAAATACTCACTATGAGATCTAATGGTTATGAATTCATTCCTGAAAGTTCATGGTGGCATTCATTTTTTTAGGAGTATTTGTACTATGATAAAATAGTTACGGTGAGACAATCATTTATGGACGAATCAATCAGCTATAACATGCTTGAAATTTACTCATCCATTTGGCTAAATAGAATTTAGGCATTATAGCTGACGTTAGTTCGTGATGAAAAACCCTAAATCTAATTCCTAACCTTAACGATCAACTGTAAATCCTAATTTAAATCTTCACACAGGTTTATAACCCTTATTTAGGTAGACACTCTCAAGGTTACTTTAGTGTCGCTCAAAGGTCATCCATAAATTATAGTCTCACCATTGTTACATAATGTTAGTGAATTTTCATTATTGCTTCAATCCATAATGAATATTACATAGATACTTTCAAAAACTTCTTTTTCGCAATGAAATGTATTACTTTATTTTATTGTTAGTAATATAATTTGAAATAACAAAAAACACATTTATTTGTACAAATGAGTGATTTGAATTTATGATTGAGATCATGAACCGATTGATGTTAGACCACTATTGAAAACCTGGAAATACTGGACGGCCATTTCATCCTATTGTGGGACTCCTCAGCAGTGCACATCCACGACTTCGCCCGCGGGATTCGAACCCAGGGCCCTGAGCCCCGCGCATGAATGCTTAACCTACTGGACCACTGAGCCGGCATCCACTAGTGTTAATGTCTAACCTCAACCAATCCACGAAGTTGCGCGACCATCTTCCATTGTACTGAGGTAGACACCTGTTTCTACCCGACACAGATTAGCTCCACTGGTCACGGCTTCTCACCAGAACTCCGAGAATTTTCTCACAAAGCTAGTCACTAGTGAGCACATGGTAATTATCAGTATAGGGTTATAGTGGTCTAACATTAATCGGTTCATGATCTTAACCAAAAACTTAACAATCTCCACAACCCTTAAACTGATAATGATTTGAATGTTTTATTATTTCAGTAGTATAATTGAATTATGAATTTTTCATCATAATTATCAATAAAATCGTCAAAGATCAATTCAAATAGGTGGAATTATCAATCATATATAATTAGAACAAGAACTGCAATGTTACAAACGTATGTACTGAAGAAATAAACCTTATCAGATCAATTAATAGGTTGTAGTAATAACTAGCGAAAAATGCAGAAGTAATAGTGTGTAGACATTATTTATAGAAGTTGAAACCCGATACAATCTATCATCCATCTCTAACTCTTCACTCCAATAGCTTTTGCCTAGAACAAATGTCTTTAAAATTGATGTAGAATAGAGAAGTCAACCTGACTTTTCTAACTTAATTTGTGAAACATCCTAGAAATAATTGAAAAGATTATGAAATCATTTATGAATCATTCATGCTTATCGATCAACATTATAACTTCGCACTATTTCTAAGTATAATTGGCAATAATATGAAAGGGGTGCTTATCAATCTTTGACTGAGTTATTGAACATGATGTTTTATACAGAATTTGAAGTTTGACCGCCGGATAAGTTCTGGCTAGCGTAGTATTCAGTCTCCTGTTGATTGTGTTTGCAACATCATCACCTTTGAGGTTAAGGTTTTTAGATAGTGGTTTTTTATTGACCATAATTACTTCCGTTTTTTCTTCTTTAAGATTTTTATATTTTTTAACAAACTTTTGTGAGTAAAAGTTGTCTCGTAGGTATTTTTCCACATTCATCAATTCTCCTTCCAGTTTGTTAGTGGTACGTATTCTTTCTGCCCTGTAAAGTAGTGTTTCAACTAATGCCTTCTTGTAACTGATTAGACAAAAATTGTTGAAATTCAGGTAAAGGTCATTCTAAGTAGTTTTTCGATAAACCAAACGTTGAACAGTCCCATCTCCACTACATTTCATGGCAACATCAAGAAAGTGGAACATGTCATTCTGTTCGTGTTCTATAGGAAGTTGTATGTTAAGATGAGCATTATTGAAGAGTTTTAACTGGCGAATTGTATGCTGTTTTTTGTTACAGACGATAAACGTGTCATCAAAATATCTGGAGTATTCCGTCGTTTCGCTAATCTCCTGTTTAAGCACCGTAATTTCAAGATAACCCATAAAAATATCTGCCAGAATTGGACCTAGTGGGCTTCCCATTGCTACGCCGTCGATCTGACGATATATGGTGTTATTAAACTGGAATTGAACGTCTGTTGTGCACAATAATAGTAGTTTTTGAATTCCGGGACTGGTAAAGGTAGATCATAATTCTGACAAATTATATCAATAGTTTCAAGAAGTGGTATATTGGTGAACAAGGATGTTACATCAAAAGAAACCATGAACTTATTGGCAACATTCGTACGATTTAGTCTATCAGCAAATTGGATTGAATCTTTTAACGTATATGTTGCTAATCTTCGACGGACCGGTTCTAGTTTTCCTGCTAGCCAGAGTGCACCTTTGTGATACGGTGAATTGATCATTGATAGGATAGGTTTAAGGAGAACGTCGTGTTTGTGAACTTTTGATAAACCATACATATGAGATAGACGTGATACACATGGTTTTAGATCATTTTACGTAGAATAAGCAATAATTTTCTTTTTAGAAGTTCTCTAAGCATGCTTGTGATTCGTTTTACTGTTGAATCAGTTAAATCTGTTTTGGATTTATCTACCTTGAACTTCAGTTGATCGTTTAGAATTGACTTCATCTTAGTGACATAATCAGCTGTATTCATTAGGAAGACACCTGAACCTCATTATTTTGTTTGATGTTTCTTAGGGCTGTCAGATGTTCTTTGGATGGAATATTCGACTTTGATGTCGATGATACGAAGTATTGGTAAACAATATCAACTAACTTTGATTCGGACCATCCTTTCTTTTCCTCATTTATTGGTTGCAAATCTTTTAACTGGTCGAACAGATTTTCGAATTAAGCTTCTGTATGAATCCTGCTAGTATTTGTTTCCAGTATATGAAATTTGAGTCACAGTGATGAGGCTTCTGTTTCTATATTATTAAGCTCCATATTTGATAAGTTATGGATATTCGCAATATTTCCTTGAAAATATAACAACATTATCAGAAAGGGGATTTTTTGGATATTATATTAATTTAATAGTTAAATTCATAAGTTGATTAAAGCTTGACAACCATGAAAAAACTGGAAGCATTGGACGGTTGTTTCGTCCTAGTATGGAACTCCTCAACACTGAGCGTCTACGATCCCTCCCGCAGGATTTAAACCCAAGATCTATCGGTCTCGCGCTTGATCACTGGAGTTTAACTAAGTCTGTTTTGAGATAGTAACTCACTAAAGACAACGATGGACGGTGCCTCAATTTCGTGGATTGATTTATGTTTGACATTAATATAAATATATAACAATAAAGTAACAACATCTAGAAGCACTATATTGAATAATATATTTTCTCTATTCATCTACTTATATACAAACATAGAATAGTAATGAAGAGACAATATACCTTATCAGACACAACTAAAGACACAAATTCCATCGAAAAGGTTTCAAAATTCTGGATCGAAGAAATTGCAAGAATCCCAAAGTACTTCTAAACAGATGTCATTGAGAAGATTCTCCAATAGAAAAACACATTAACATAGATTCAATTTACCAATTCATGCTTAAAAGTTATGATGTTAGAGATTGATTGAACAAAAGTTTGCAAGTGTACCTGAAGTTACTAAAATCTGTTAAGAAAACTAGTCATAAAACAGGTCATCCAAATGGATTGACATAATGCGTATGAAATAATACGAAATTTCATTTCAACTTAAAGTAGGCGCTGATAATGTTGTATAGAAGAGCAGAAAATACCTTGATGAAACCATTCAGCTCAGACGACTCAATATTACCAGAAAACAATTATGAACACCCCCAGAGTTGATCATAAAACAAGATTGACTGATAGACACTATCAGTATGAATTTTTAAATAAAAATAGTGGACTTCTTCAA